GGAGCTTTTGGCCTGGCTTCAGCATGTGTGCTAATTACGTCAGACATTTCATAGAGATTTTAGGGCGACTAGAATTTTGCTTTTCAGATCATATAGGGCGAAGTGGAAAATATTTACAGCGAAGTTTTTAAGAATGACGTTATTTTAAATCAAAATTCAAACAATAATATTTGCAGCAAATAATAATAGCTATATACACTTCATACCCATTGTACATGGGATGAATCGGGTTGCCTTTCAAGGTAATTGGCTACATACTCAGATTTAAAGGTACATTGCCTCCAGATGAGTCAAAATATTTCAATGGGAAAATGTACTAAGATGATCATGTAAGGAAAAGTAAATAGTTTCAAGATTTAAGATTCAAGTAATATTTTACATATAATGTGCGATTAATGACCGATTTTTCAGTATTTTTCAGTATTTACAACTATTTTTCACTTGCGTTACTAACGCAGTAAATGCTATTTATGCATATTTTGACCACTTTTTGGTAATTTGCCTGGTTTGTAAGTGCCATTGATAATGTGTAAATTTTGGTTATTTTACAATATTACACATTCAAATACATTTTCAAAATCGTCACGAAAATCACGAATCTGGAGGCGCGCTGCTTTAATACCTTTGTCACAAGAACTTAAATTATAAAGTTTTTTTCTTAACAATTAACATATTATCTTTATCTTCTTTAATGCAAAGATGCAAATACAGGTGTGACATACATCATTTAGTTGTTTTACCTCTTTCTGTTCTGAAACAAGAGTCTCTAGAACAGTAAATTTCTTTTTTAAATCGGCATGTTCTATTTCCATCTCGAGTTTTTCCTTCTTCTCCTGGACCATTTGTGATTCAAGTTCCATAATTGTTTTCTTAAGTTCTGAAAGTTCTTTTTCATTTTCAAGCTTTTCCCCCTCTTTTTCTTCCGACATCTTGGTTTTAAATTCTATAAACTTCTTCTTCAGATCATCGTATTCCTCTTTAGTTGCAGCATCGTCAACTGAATATAGAACTTTTTTCATTTCTTCATTGATTTGTCCCAGAATTTCATCAAAGTCTACAGTAGTTATAATGAAGTCCTTCTTCTTCAGCTAATGAAAAATATCAATTTCTTTTATATTTTCTGTCATAAAAAATGAAGCTATGTGATTTATAACACTTACTCTTCTATACAACAAATTATATATAAGGTAAATATCAAAATTATCTCAAAAACAAGAACGTGTTTGTTAAACACAAATGCCCCCGGCTCAGATTCTTGTCAGTAGCAATACTTCAAAAAATGTTTACCCATTCACTCAGTTATGGACAGATATCGCAAAAAATTGTAAACACAAGTTTTTATAGCTTGACAAAGTCATGGCATTTTGTAATTGTGAAAAAATATAAGTTGCCAAGTCATTGCTCTGACTTGTGAAGTTGAAAAATATTCAACTTCATGCAAGTTATCTTCCTACCAAATATGAAATACATCTGTCATTAAATAAAGGCTGTATGGGCAAAAGTGTATAAATCTATTTTGAGCACTGGTGACCTTGACCAAACCGACCCCTAACTCTATCCAAAAGAAGAATACCATGTAAGTTATCTTCCTGCCAAATATGAAATACATCTGTCAATAAATAAAGGCTGTATGGGCAAAAGTGTAAAAATCTATTTTTGGCACTTGTGACCTTGACCCAAACTGACCCTTTACTCCATCCAAGGAAGAATACCATGCAAGTTATCTTCCTACCAAATATGAAATACAACTGTCAATAAATAAAAAGCTGTATGGGCAAAAGTGTAAAAAATTTATTTTTTAGCACAAGTGATCTTGACCCCACTGATCCCTACCCCAATCAAAAGGAAGAATACCATGCAAGTTATCTTCCTACCAAATATAAAATATATCTGTCACTTAATAAAGGCTGTATGAGCAAATGTGTAAAAATCTATTTTTAGCAATGGTGACCTTGACCAAACTGACCACTTACTCCATCGAAGTTTATGTTTCTATCAATCATAAATAACATCTGTCTATAGAATAAGGTCAATACACCTGTAAAAATGTAAAAATCTATTTTTAACATTGGTGACCTTGACATTGGTAACATTGACCTTGACCCAAATGACCCCATACTACACCCAAAGAAGGAATAGTTTGTATTAAAACTAAGACATCAACTAAACAAGAGGGCCATGATGGCCTGAGGTCGCTCACCTGTATATAGCACGCCCCCCCCCCACCCATAAGAAGATGTTCATGCTAAACATCTAAGCTCTAGCTCATTGGGCTTTTTAAAAGAAGATTTTTTTAAGTTTTTAGTATACACATATAGTTAAAAACAATGACACCCCTGGGGCGGGCCCAGTATTGACCCCAGGGCTTTTATTTGAACAAACTTTGTAGACACTTAATAGAAGATGTTTCATGCTTAATATCTAAACTCTAGCTATTTGGGTTTTTTCAAAGAGGATTTTAATTTTTAGCTATACACATATAAGGAAAATCAATGACCCCCGGGGCGGGGCCAATTTTGACCCCAGGGCTTTTATTTGAACAAACTTGGTAGACACCTATAAGAACATGTTTTATGCTAAATATCTTAGCTCTAGCTCTTTGAGTTCTTTAAAAGTTTTTACTATATGCATATAGGGAAAATCAATGACACCCTGGGGCGGGGCCAATTTTGACCCCAGGGCTTTTAATTGAACAAACTTGGTAGACACCCATAAGAAGATGTTTCAAGCTACACATCTAAGCTCTAGCTCATTGGGCTTTTTAAAAGAAGATTTTTTTAAGTTTTTACTATACACATATAGTTAAAAACAATGACACCCCTGGGGCGGGGCCAGTTTTGACCCCAGGGCTTTTATTTGAACAAACTCTGCAGACACTTACTAGAAGATGTTTCATGCTTAATATCTAAACTCTAGCTAATTGGGTTTTTTTCAAAGAAGATTTTAAGTTTTTGCTATAAACATATAAGGAAAATCAATGACCCCGGGGCGGAGCCAATTTTGACCCCAGGGCTTTTATTTGAACAAACTTGGTAGACACCTATTAGAACATGTTTGATGCTAAATATCTTAGCTCTAGCTCTTTGAGTTCTTTAAAAGAAGATTTTTAAGTTTTTACTATATGCATATAGGGAAAATCAATGACCCCCTGGGGCGGGGCCAATTTTGACCCCAGGGCTTTTATTTGAACAAACTTGGTAGACACTCACTAGAAGATGTTTCATGCCATATATCTAAGCTCTAGCTCTTAGGGTATTTTTAAAGAAGATATTTAAAGTTTTTTCTTTCGGTTGCCATGGCAACCAGAGTTCTGCATGGAATTAAATTCTTTGAACAATTTTTAAAGGTGACCACCAAAGAAACATTCCTGTGAAGTTTGGATGAAATTGGCCTAGTTGTTTATGAGGAGATGTCATTTAAAGTAAAAGTTTACGGACGCCGGACGAAAAGCGATCACAAAAGCTCACCCTGTCACTTTGTGACAGGTGAGCTAAATATAAAGGCCGTATGAGCAAAAAGGTTTATACATGTATTTATTTTTTAAACCAGTGACCTTGACCCTAGACACCGCTTACACCAAAAAAAATTAGAGGACCATCAAAGGTATCCACCTACTAAATATGAAAGATATCAGTAAAGAAATTAAGCAATTAGGAGAAATTTAAGATAAATCTAACTTGCCGAAATAGGTTAACCAGACAAGGCCCTATTTTCAAAGTGAAAAAAGGGAAATAACTGGGAAATATGGATGACACAGTTATATAACTTGGCAATAGCATGTGCTTTGTATTGATAAGTAAGTGTGGAAATTATAAAGCCATTAGTATAGATAAACTTAAATTTTTCAACTTCCCGTTTTGGGTTAACCATTTTTCATTTTTTTAAAGTGTAAAAAGGGCAAAAAACTTGGTAAATAAAAAGCCGGTTTGGATTCCCCAATCATGATTGTTTTGATTAGAAAGGTGAAAATTAGAACCCTTGGTCAGGAAAATTAAAAAAAACCCAAACTTCCCCGTTCTGGGTTAAACCTGTAGCGACGGCGGAGTCCGGCCAAAATGGAAAAAGGGGGCCCATTTTTTTTGTTATTTCTATTTTTTTAATAGAGGGCCAAGGGCCCCCTATTATTGTTTTTCGGAATGAATTCTTTGTTCTCCTTTTTTTTTGTTTACGTTTTTGGCCCTTTTCGTGTACGACGGTTATTATATTGCCGGGGAAAAAAAGTTGTTTTTTTTTTTTTAATATATTTTTTAAGGGCTTCAAAAAACGTTTATGGGGGGACTGTGTGGTATAGTCATTTGATTGCCAGATACCTCTATTTTCTTCACATTTGTTTTTCTTACCTATTACTAACAAGCTTAGATCTGAATTTTTGATATTCACATTTCGGAAGTATTTATAAATTATATTTGATTTCATCAAGAATTTAGATATGTTAACTTAAGGCAGTTGTTACTTAAATTTAACTAAAATGAACTAAACTATTGCTGAATGCGATTCATTACCCCACCAATGTCCTTGACAGAAGATGACTTGGAAAGGAGGTTAAGGGAATAACTTTAGTGGCACAAATACATATAATTATACATAATGAAATTATCTCTGGTGAAAAAAGACAATTGTACAGGTAATTGTCAGGGCATTTTTGTCAAAATTGTGAAGGGGCCTGGACCTGTTCATTTTGTGGAAAAAAAGCGTGATTTGTCATAAAATTGTGAAAAAAAAATCCATATTATTTGGCATTTAGCAACATTATAAAACCGGAAAATCTGCTTCAAGTCGGTACTTTAACCCGCTTAATATGTGCTAAAACCATTTTACTTGATTAAAACTACCGTATTTCTGTGTTCTTGAAATTGACGTAAATCATGTTTTACCAGAACGTATTGTCAAATCATGTTCAAAACAGTTACAAATAACCCTCCATTTTTCCAAACAAAAGCAGTGAAGTTAAGAAAATAGCATAATTATGTCAAAATGTAATTAAGAGTGGAAAAACTTTGCATGTGACCCTTCATATATTATAAAGTTTCGAGTGAATATCTGTTCTAGTTTCAGAAACATTTAAGTATTAATGGTTATATCAGAACATTTTCTAAGCCAAAAAAGGGGCATAACTTGTGTCATAATTCAATGGAATGGAAGAATTTTCGTGAGCTCACTTGTTACCATTCATATTAAATTTAAATTTCAAGTAAATATCTGTTCTGGTTAAAGAAATATTATAGTAAACAAGCAATACTCATAGTATTGCAGGCAATCCATAAGTCCCCTACCGGTTAGAACCCCAGCAACTAAACATTCTGATAGGCCATTGGCCATTCAATTTTACCAGTGAATGAATGACATGAATGAACTTAAATCTTTTGAGTTCTAAGTTTGTCTATATCACAGTAATGTGTTAAGTTTCCCTGCCTAATAAGGAAATTATGTTTATACAACACATAATCAAGAGGTCCAATTTTCTCAGGATGAATAAGTATAAATAATGTTTCAACTTTTCTCTATTTTAAGTAAATTTGTTGGAAAAAATCTTCAAAAGTGATCTCAGGAAACAGTCTTTATGAACAGACAGACAGACAGACTGAAGGAGACTCTTAGGTTACTTTTTTAAACATCCCTGTTACCAAAATATGACATATTTTAATACAAATTTTTAAAGAGGAGATACATGTAACTCTTGAAATAACGATGCCAGATTTATGAACATTGATGTGAGTTTTACTTTAAGTTTAAAGATACATGTACCATTTATTGTCATAAAGAAGATAAGTAAAACAAGAGCTGTCGGAAGGACAGCACGCTCGACTATTCTAAGTGCTTGATAGTAAAAGAGCCTTGATAATGTTAAATTTTTTAAGTTCACAAAAGGGCTAATTTTTTTTTATAAATTCATGTTATAGGCCTTAGAGAGAGTCTAATTATACAGTATTGGCTTGACTATTCGGAAGGTAATGTCACAAGGGTGTTTTATTGAATATAATAATACTAATTACCTATGAAAAATAAATTTGACAGACAAGGTACAAAGGCTTGTTATTAAGATGTTTTATCAAGAAATCACTGCTTTATTATTATGAATGCATAAAATTGTCCCAAAAAAGGCACAAAGTGACAAACCCTTCAGTAGTTATTGAGATAACAGCTTACAAACAAAACTTTACCATGAATTTCTAAGTTGAAAAAGGGGAGAAAAATCAGCCTAAATGCAAGATAGAATTATGGATCTTTGTCAGTGACCTACAATTATAACCCTAAATGCATATGTGAAGTTTTAAATAAATATCTTTAATAGTTATTGAGATATGTAAAACTTGCATGTAAACATTAACCAAGAGACTAAGTAGAAAAGGGGATATGAATCAGCCTTAATGCAAGATAGAGTTATGGAACTTGGTCAGTGACATACAATTATGACCCTCCAATTATGACCCTAAGTGCATGTGTAAAGTTTCAAGTAAATATCTTTGAATACCTTTAACCTTTAACCAAAATTACTAAGTTTCAAAGGGGCAAATAATTCTGCAAATATTGCAGGCAGAGTTATGCAATTTTTGCACACTGATGTACATTGTTACAACAAAAAGTATTTTAAATTTCAATTGAATATCTCAAGCAATAATTGAGATATTTGACTTTACAAAAAAACTTTAACAAAAAAGTTCCAAAGGAGCATAATTCTGTCAATATTGTAGGCAGAGTTATCCCACTTGTCAATCTGATGTACCTTGTTACTTTAAATAAGTATTGTAAGTTTAAATTGAATATCTCAAGCAATAATTGAGATATTTGACTTTACAAAAAACTTTGACCAAAATTTCTAAGTTAAAAGGGGCATAATTCTGTAAATATTGTAGGCAGAGTTATCCCACTTGTCAATCTGATGTACCTTGTTACAATAAATAAGTATTGTAAGTTTTAATTGAATATCTCAAGCAATAATTGAGATATTTGACTTTACAAAAAACTTTAACCAAAATTTCTAAGTTAAAAGGGGCATAATTCTGTCAATATTGTAGGCAGAGTTATCCAACTTGTCTATCTGATGTACCTTGTTACTATAAATAAGTATTGTAAGTGTCAATTGAATATCTCAAGCAAAATTGAGATATTTGACTTTACAAAAAACTTTAACCAAAATTTCTAAGTTAAAAAGGGGCATAATTCTGTCAATATTGTAGGCAGAGTTATCAAACTTGTCAATCTGATGTACCTTGTTACTATAAATAAGTATTGTAAGTTTCAATTGAATATCTCAAGCAATAATTGAGATATTTGACTTTACAAAAAACTTTAACCAAAATTTCTAAGTTAAAAAGGGGCATAATTCTGTCAATATTGTAGGCAGAGTTATCAAACTTGTCAATCTGATGTACCTTGTTACTATAAATAAGTATTGTAAGTTTCAATTGAATATCTCAAGTAGTAATTGAGATATTTGACTTTACAAAAAACTTTAACCAACGCAGACGCCGACGCGGACGCCGACGCCGGGGCGACTACAATAGCTCTCATATTCTTCGAATAGTCGAGCTAAAAATAACAATTTTCAAATATAGCATTAACTATAATGTATAGTAAGTAAAAAAGAAGAAAGTCCATGAAGAAATAAGAAAGTTAGAGAATGAATAAGAAAAATTCAAAGTTTAAGGAGGAGATAATTCTGAAAATATGGATCTAGATTTATAAACCTTGTCATATTATTATGATGTGGGAGTTTAAAGTAAATCCTATAAGGAATGAAGAAGTTGGAGTAAAAAATACCAATTTCTCGAAAAAAATCTAAGTTCAAGGGGGGCATTATTCTACAAATAGTCTTGCTAGAGTATTTAACCTTCTCACAAATGTAGAGTGATAATAAGAAACATATATATGAAGTTTGAAGTAGATACATTAAGAAATAAAGAAGTTATTTAAAAATGACAACATTTTTTTTTATAAAAATTCTAAGTTCAAGGGAGGTAATTCTGATAATTTTTGTGCTAGAGATGTAAACCTTGTCACATATGATGTGATTGATGACCAGAAACTTATATTTAAAGTTTGAAGTAAACACCTTAAGAAATAAAGAACTTATAGTGAAAAAGCATAAAAATTCAAATCAGAAATCTTGAAATTCAGTCTATTTGTTGCCACAGCAACCAGAATTTCAACTTAGGAAGAAAAGAAACAAGAGCTGTCACAGGAGACAGCGAAGCTCGACTAATGAAATACTGGACGCAGTAAAGAGGACAAAATTATGAAAGAAAAATCAATTATGTATAATTATGTATTAAGTTACAGTAAAAAATAACATTTGTTAACATAAATTCCAAGATCAAGGGGAATAATTCTAGAAATAGTCATGCTAGAGTTATGGGCCTTGCCACACAACATTTGTGTAATGATAAGAAATATATATTTGAAGTTTGAAGTAGATACCTTAAAAAATAAAGAAGTTATTATATTTCTTAAAGAAAATCCTAAGTTCAAAGAGAGATAAATCTGTAAATATTGCTTCAAGAGTTATGAACATTGTCACATAAAATGTAATTGATGATAAGGAATAAGTATTAGAAGTTTGAGGTAGATACCTTTAAAAATAAAAAAGTTAAAATAAAAAATACATTTTTCTAGTAAATAAATCTAAGTTTATGGGGAGATAATTCTTGCAATATTGGTGCTAGAGTTATGAACCTTGTCACATAAGATGTGGATGATGATAACGTAAATATAATTGAAGTATGAAGTTGATCACTTCAGAAATAAATAAGTTACAGTAAAAAATAATATTTTTTATGGAAAATTCTAAGTTCAAAGGGAGATAAATCTGAAAATATTGGTGCTAGAGTTATGAACCTTGTCACATAAGATGGGGATGCTGATAAGGTACATATATTTGAAGTATGAGGTTGATCCCTTAAGAAATAAAGAAGTATCAGTAAAAAAATAGTATTTTTAAGGAAAATTCTAAGTTCAAGGGGAGATAAATCTGAAAATATTGGTGCTAGAGTTATGAACCTTGTCACATAAGATGTGGTTGATGATAAGGAACATATATTTGAAGTTTGAAGTTGATACCTTAAGAAATGACAAAGTTATAGTGAAAAATATTTTACTGCACCAAAACTTTAATCTAAAATCTGGACGCGGACGCCGACGCCGGGGCGAGTGGGACAGCTCTCCATATACTTCGTATAGTCGAGCTAAAAACCTACATAATCTCCATACTGCCAACTATCTATATATCAAGTTTCATAAAAATATTTTCAGTACTTTTGCGTTATCGCGGGATCCAGTTTTGTGGACAGACAGACTGACAGACGGACATAGGGTAAACCTAAAGTCCCCTCCGGTTAAACCGGTAGGGGACTTATAAATTTAAAGACATAAAAATGGACTTAACTTTGTCAAAATACAAAACAAAGTTATCCCACCCCCTCCACTTTTTTTAGTTATGAAACTTGACCTGCCTATCTTACTTGCGACACTTCGTACATATTTGAAGTTTCAAATGATTATTCTGTTCTAGTTTTAGAAATATTCAAGTACATGTTAAAATTTCAGAAAATTTTCTAAGTCAATTTTTGACCGTCAAGTGTGGCCTTGACCTTTAGCTGGCATAAGGGTAAGATGGGTTCTGCACATTGCCCAGTTGGGGTGAACATTTGAGTCAAGTTTGAAGAAAATCCTTCCATTAGTATCGAGTTTATAGAGCGGACACATCAAAATGGAATACAGAGTTATGAAACTTGACCTGCATATCTTAATTGTGACACTTCATATACATTTCAAGTTCCAAGAAAATACCTTTTCTAGTTTCAGAAATATTCAAATACATGTTAAAATATAAGAATATTTTCTAAGTAAATTTTTACTTTCCAAGTGTAACCTTGACCTAAAGCCGGCAAAAGGGTAAGATGGGTTTTGCACATAACTATGTTGAGATAAACATTTGAGCCAAGACTGAAGAAAATCTTTCTATTAGTGTAGGACTATAGTGGACACGACATACTGTGTAATATTTGATTGTTTGATTTGACCTTCAATTGTGACCTTGACCTTGAGCTGACGCATGGGCAACATGGGTTTTGCACAACCCTTTGTTGAGCTGAACATTTGAGCCAAGTTTGAAGAAAATCCTAAAATTGGTATAGTATATATAAAGCGGACAAGATAATGGAGACGGACGGATGGACCGACAAAGCGAATCCATTATACATTTTGTGGTGGGGGTATAAATTAACCACTTTAAGCACTTTTTTCTATGTGACTCTGTAAAATTTGCTTATTCTAAATTATGATTTCAAACTTATGTACACTTACATCTTGAAGTTTCCTGACAGCTTGTTGTGCATCTTGTCGATGTAAAAGATCTTTACCATCTTGTAGAACAGCTATCATGTCATCGATATAACAATTAGCTTTGCTCTCCTCTAGTTCCATATTGCTAGAATGAAAAATCTCGTTTCGGTACTGCCGCACCTAATATACAGAAAACAAATAATACAACATTCACATAAATACAGTGTTCAGCAATGAAACTAAACACAATTCTTAAGTTGAGAATTAAAACTGTAATGAAGGAGTTACTTTAAAATACTTAACATAATAATCATTATTATTATTGTGTTTAAACCGCATATTATATAAAAGCAAAGGGAATAGAAATGACTTTTGATAAATGTTATAATTATTTTACTGAAGTAATGGTATTTAAATGTGTTGCATTTACTTATAAAGCACAAATAACATACTTCTGTACATTTTACAGCAAGGCTTAAAATAAAAAAAAGTTTTTGTTTCCCATCCACAAAAATTACAGCTAACCAAAAAATTGTATTGCAAAAAAAAAAAATTGTGAATAAGATTTTACATTTGTTGCAAATTGTTTCTGGCAAAATAACTGTATTAACCTCATAGTTATATGGACATAATTTCAGCTTAGTGCGGTAATCAGTTAACTTCTATAAAAATTAAAAAAGAGTTAATCAATAACTACACTAAGTTAACAATATTCTCTTTTACTTTTATATTCAATTAACAAACTACATTTAAATATTACAGTAAAGCTTAGGGCTTCATGCCTCCAGATGAGTAAAAATATTTCTATAAAATCAAACTTGAAACTAATATTTTTGAAAAAGTAAAATGATTTAAGATTCAAGTAATATTTTACATGTTACATGTATGTGCAATTAATGACTGCTTTGTCAGTATTTTCAACTACAGTAGAACTTGTAAGAGTCGAACTTTGATTTCTGAGTCGAGATTTTATGTGTCGAATTTTTCGATGTGTCGAGGTTTTTTCGTGGTCCGTGTAAGTAAATCTAGTGCAATTTACCACAAATAAGTCGAAGTTGTTCGATTATTTTGACACCGTCGATCTCGAGACATTTTTCACACCTTATCTTAGGCTGCGAAGACGATTTCCAATCAACTTGTGTGACAGGTGTTAATTACACAGCCGTGTGTTCAAACAGCCTTTGTTTGCGATAAAATGTGTGATAAAATGCTTTAATCGTTACTATTTTAATTGCCGTAGTGGTATTTGAAAGTTGTTACGAGCCAGGCGTAACGAGAAAGAAAAGCCAGCAACAAACTTGTAACAATAACAAATTTATTACAGAAAAATTATTAAAGAAAAATAAAATAACAAATTATGTTAACAAATACCTGAAGTCCAAATGAAAATGAAAAATTACAAATGTCTAGTCTGATCCTGGAATGATCCTTTTTAATAGCACAGTTAAATCCAAGTTAAATCCAAGAACACTTTAGAATAAATTCCCACAATAAAATCCACGAGAATAATTTATTTTAAAATCCAAGCTCCAATAATTCACTTAATATCCAAGTTGAATAATACTCCAAATATATTGATTTCTTAAAAGGTAACTGATGACTTAATAGATCACTGATGACTTAAAAGGTAAAAGAAAAGAAAAATATGCCGTAATATATATAAACTAGGAACATTCCAGAATAGTCTATTATGTTCTAGTGTAATCATAATCTAGCACTTTCAACAATAAAGAACAGTCCGGAAGTTTCTAACTAAATATAATGCATGAGTTTATCTACAACAATTAAGAAAGTTCTAGTACATACATGTAGTTTATGTTCTAAAAATAGAACAATGATAATATTGGAAATACCAACTGGTCAGATACAAACTATATACATGTAATATGTTGCATACATAACAAAGTAAACAGTAAGAACTACTTTCATTTGATTACATCCTTGACCCGGTGTCGCATGAGAATAACAAGCGAAATATATACTATAAGTTGGTTATGTTATCGCCCTTTCGTATTGTTACGCCTTTTGTAACTCTATTGTATACGTCAACAGGTAGTCCAAATAATTAGCCGTGAAAAACGTTATTTAACATGCTATATTTATCATTGTAAAATGTGAATATCAGATTAATGATGGAAAAAACATGAAATAGGTTTCGATATACTAGTGACGGGTCGAAATTTTGTCATGGAATTGAGAGCGATTCATGAGTCGAAGTCCCGATGTGTCAAAGTTTTTACGCAAGTCCCATCAACTTCGACTTACCGAAGTTCTACTGTATATTTCTACTGCGTTACTAATGCATTAAGGGCTATTTATGCATATTTTGACCACTTTTTTGTAATTTACTTGGGTTTTAAGTGCCATTGAAAATGTGTAAATTGCTTCTTTTAAGTTATTTCACAATTATTGTACATTCAAACACATTATCATAATTTTCATGAAAATAAGCATGAAATGGAGGCGTGCTGCTTTAATATTTTACAAAATTTAAAATAAACATAATAATTATAGTAAACAAATGTATTTACCTTTGAAAAAAGATTGTTTGGTCCTGCAACATTGCATCCAATGTGACTATGAAAGTAATTGTTATTTATGATAACATGAAGCAACCCAGTGCAATCAGTGTCGACTGCTGATGTCTTGTCCTTGTACCCAGGAGCATTTATAAAACATTTGCAAACCTCCCATGGTTCTGTTGACCACTGTTGGACATCACTGTTTTTCCAAAAAGGTACTGGTGGTATTGATGCATGATACTGTATAATGCTGTCATAGATGGCACCACATACATTGTTTGGACAGGGTCTCTTATTATTAGGAAAACAACAGTTACATTTATCTTGATTGAGGGGACATATCCCTTTTGAGACTCGGACATGATCTGGCTGGAGAGTTGTTATCTGACAGGTGCCACATGGTACGTTTGGTTGAGGAGTCTTTGTTTGTTGTATTTTGTTAATAATATCGTTGTGCTGCTGTCTTCCAATGTCATCACAAAATGGCGCAAGTCCCTCTTTAAGATAACCCAAGCCTAGGCCAGCCTTAACCCACTGTCGGTATTTGTTGTTCTTTAAATGTATCTCATGTGCCATCTTGATTTCTAAAACAAACAAAAAATATTTTTAGCTACAATTGGAAAACCATTATTAACTATGACTGATCACAAACACTTGTATCATACTATATTGCCCTGAAAGCTGGCCCCAGTTAAGGGACCATGAACTTTGACTTACAATGAAGGCATTGCTACTATCACTAGAGGGCCATATTAACCCCAGATTGATCATCTATGATTCGCTGTTAGAAACGGTCATCACATATTATACAGAAGTAGATATTAATTGTTCCTCATTGAGCAGCCAAAATCAATTCAACCATTTCTACGTCTCGAGTAGAACTTGGAAGACATGTACGTAATACGTCATCTCGAGACATTTGTGTCTTTTTTCTTTGGAATTATAAGCAAGGAAACTTTACAAACCATAAAAGAAATAACAAACACACCTCGATATCAATTATAAATCTACTTTCCATAAATGTACAGTACAGCTTAAACAATTAACTAAAATCGGTCAATGACTGCGATTATTTTACGATTGGATTGTCACGGCAACGTCCCTGCTACAGTTTTGACTTTCCATTATCACCCGATCGGGTGCAATTTGTGCTGCGAAATATCGTCACTGTTGATCACTGTGAAATATTGCAGGGACATTCCGCTCTCTTGGGTGACCAATGATCAATTTATTACACGCGGTAATTTACTAAAATACATATGTACGTCTGAAAAAAATAACACACCCAGCATTTGTCTCCTTAAATATCTGAAGGGCAGATAATTGCCCGTTTTAAAAATTTTAAACTTTAACAAAAATTCATCGCAGACTGTCAATATTCAATTGTGCGAAAATACACGAAAACACTCGCCAACAAAGTAGCATAAATAAATAAATGAGATATAATGTATCCAACTTAAATAACATACGCAAAATTTACACACATGATGACCTCTGACAATTGACTAGTCTGCTCTTCAAAAGAATCTGCCAAACTTTGATGTTGACACATGTGTATTCCCTACCAAAGAAGTGCCGACACTCAAATGACTTCCTCCAATCCGTTACATGTCAATGCTTTTTACGAACCTGTGCTGGTAATGGGAGGCCACAACTTGTATGCCTTCTTTATATTATATACATGTATATAGGGCCAAGGGGTGTCATCGATTCAATCGATATCGGTGTATCAACGATCTTTGTTATCCGATTCGATATCGATTCCATTTTTTAAATATCGGATATCAAATGCACATATATTTCTAGCTAAAGAGACTTCAGCGAACAGTTTTTATAGAACTGATAGACCTGTTTACTGTTGCAAAACGTCAAAATAAAAGCAACATATAAAGTTATGGAAGCCAGAAACAATTTTTTTTTAAATGAAAACGGAAATCAATGCCAAAGTTACCTCCCAGTGTCTCTAACGAATGCTGCCTAATTCCGTTGTAATCTCGCATGCGTGCTAAGTGAATGTTAAGACCCCTCAATTCAGATTTCAAAAGGGAAAATGCCAAGAAAAATTTGTCAGTGTTAAACTTTAATAATTAATCAGGTTCTAAACACTATAATTTGCCAATTAAACCTGGCTTAATTGGAACGGCAAGGACGGGATTTAGCATTATCAGTAACTATGTAATAGCAACAACAACAACTAAAGTAAAATGGAAAAGGCTTTAAACTTTCTAGTTACTAATCATTAGTTTTTATTTATAGCTATATGATAAAAAAAAGAAACAAATTGTTCAGTTTTCATAGTTAATCATTTTTGCATTTGTCTAAATATAACTGCTTTGTCAGAGTCCTAGTTACATTATTGTTATATATTGGTTAAATTGAGGTCAGAAACTGGTTAGATTCATGTCTGAAATAATTAAGGAACGGAATAATTGGTTTATAATTTCTACTTTCGTTTTCACCAAAAACCTTTTGGTCATAGGAACTCTGGAACAGGACCGCATATTGCGGCGCATAAATCCGGATTCGTACCCGCTTTACAAATTGTTTGTCCGACCTTTTAATATCTTTTCATATTATGCGAGCGGGTGGTCTTTAATTATCTAATCTCAATTTAATATAATCTGCAAATTTAAAAATCAGTGAAATTTACGGTATATTGAAAAAAGGAAAGGAGTGACATCCGCCATTTGCCGCAACGTTCGGCGAAAGTTATCCCCCTTGATATGCTTGATTTTTGTTTTAATTTTTCTAGTACTCTCTTTATGTCACTCAATACATGGGAAACTTTCACATTTCCTAATAAGGAATACCAGATGAGTGCCTTGAATATTTATCTATGGATCATGTTTTAAATATTCCTTTTTTTCAGTTAGGCAAAATCTATTAGACCATATTACTAAAATGTCTGTTTTCTCCATGTAAACAAATCATAACACGAATACGCCGTTATAATGCCGACTATACATGTCAAACACTAGTGCATGTCAACACGTGTAACAATAAACCGTTACGATACCTGATAGTTGACAACGATAACGGGAACAAAATTCTGAAAAAATAGTAATCAAGTGTAGCCAAAGGGGGAAAACTCATGCCGAACGTTGCGGCAAATGGCGGATGTCACTCCTTGTCTTTTTATATATAAATACCGTAAAATTTCACCAGTTTTAAAAGTACAGGCTTCGCGAAACTGCTGAAAAATTTGCCTGACATTCGGTCAGACAAACTTTCAATTCTTGTCTGACCCAAAGAACTTTTGTCTGACCAAATTTTTTCCCCCAAATATATGTATATGGTAATACCTTGGTGTTTTTTTTTAAAAACATAACAACTTTTAAAGATTTGCAACACAATTTTATTCCCTTAAATAAAACATTAGTTTATCCAGATTGATGCATGGACTCACAGGCGCTAGTCACATATATTCAAATATTTTACATAACCAGTCTATATATGTATATAAAGATATATACTATATAGCCCATATAAAACTTTAAAAAGTTTGTTTCAAGCACCTGTGGATGGACTCTGTTTGGAAATCAAAACATTCATGATCAAAGCGGCCATTTTTCCATTTACCCACAAATTTTCTCGGCGGGCGCCTGGACTCGTATTCCTTTTGTTTCGCTTTTTTTCTTCATTGGATAGTTTACGATTTTTGCCGGGCGTAGCGCCAGCGTAATAATGTATCCACATACAGGGCCAAAAAACCCTTCTTTAAAGACGCCGAATATCGGCTACTTCCCCAACCAAACTAGCCTCTTTTTTTCCCCAATTTGGTCCAAAAATTTCCCCAATCGCTTGAAAATCCCCTGCAGAATTAAGAACTGAATTAACAGAAAACAAGGGTGCCATAGTCACAAAATACGCCCGTTTACGAAAAAGCTTTAGATGGAGATGGGGGCATTATGGATAAGTGTTATCTAGCAAGCAAGTTTTTATTTTTGGCACTGTGTTGTTAAATGAACCTTAAAACAAATCAATAGGGAAGATATGCACAGAATGTGTGACCTTGACCTTGGTCGCAGGGACCTGAATTTTATGCACGGCACTCAGCCTCACAATGATGAACATTTGTGCCAAATTATATTGAAATCCCTCTATGCATGTAGAAGTTTTGCTCCAGACAAGTGTTTTTCTATGAGCTCTAACTGTGACCTTCACCTTTGACCTAGAGACTTGATTTATGTGCAGGGCACTACGTCTCATGGTGGTGAACAATTCTATAAAAGTAACATTAAAATTCCTCCATGCATGTAGAAAATATGCTCCGGACAACATCTGGATATTTAATCATCTCCAGTGACCTCGACCTTGCAAATATTAACCTAAATTAAATGTGTAACACCTGTAGTCATGATAGTTACCATTTGTGCTACAATCCATCAATAAATGATGACTAAATGGTCCCTATAACCATCTTCAAATTTTTATCTGAACTTTGACCTCTATGTGTAACCTTGACTTTGGTCGCAGGGATCTGAATTTTGCATGCGACACTCAGCCTCACAATGAAAAACATTTGTGCCAAGTTATATTGAAAACCCCCTATGAATGTAGAAGTTTTGCTCCGGACAACCATTTTTCAATGAGCTCTAAGTGTGACCTTGACCTTTGACCTGGAGACCTGGATCATGCATGGAGCAATACATATCATGGTGGTGAGCATTTCCAGTATTATAAAAATCCTTCCATACATGTAGGAGATATGCTCCAGACAAAATCTGGATATTTCACCATCTTTAGTGACCTTGACCTTGCATTTATTGACCTAAAGTACATGTGTCACAGCCGTAGTCATTATAATGACCATTTGTGTTACAATCCCTCAATAAATGATGATTAAATCGTCCCTATACACATCTTCATATTTTTATCTTTTTTTAAACGGGCGTATAAAAAGTACATGTAATTTAATAACTAAAAAATTCTGATTTAAGATTTTATTCTAGGGAAATACATTTCATTACAATTCTTAATCTTTGAATGAGCTGAACTGATATTTACTTGAAAATTAAAATATAATTAAATTTCTATGAGAAAGTATTTACATTTGATAAGGTAATTACTGTATGATCTTTATGAACAAATACCAAGTCTACAGAACACCATAGTTATCACAGTTAAGTATCTTGACCAATGAATGAAACATGTGTAAATAAATGTTACATTCTTTACAACATACTCAAGTCCAAGAAAGAGGATTATTTCATGCCCTTTGATTAAATTCTATTTTTAGAAAATAGATCAAGGGGAGTAATTGTGTAAGTCATTTATGAACAAAGTAATAACTTTGTTGTCTCCCTTTGATTAAATTCTATTTACAAAATCTGGATATTTCATCATCTTTAGTGACCTTGACCTTGTATATATTGACCTAAATTATATGTATCACAGCCATAGTCTTGATAATGACCATTTGTGTTACAATCCCTCAATAAATGATGACTAAATGGTCCATATACACATCTTCATATTTTTATCTGAACTTTGACCTCTAAGTGTGACCTTGACCTTGGCCGCAAGGACCTGAATCTTGCACGCGACACTCCGCCTCACAATGGTGAACATTTGTGCCAAGTAA